TCAGGTCACCATGTCCCTGGTCACCCTAAAGCCACCGCGGGACCCCCATGAGCAGAGGACGGGAAGACCTCGCCCCCCCCAGCTGCAGGTCGAGGGGTTCCCTGGGGATGGCTGACCCCAAAAAGGGTCCCTCCTCCCTGGGGGCAGCACCCAAGTCCCCAGGGGATGGAATCGTGGCCCCTGAGCTCTGCCTGTGAATTTGGGGTTTGCTTTTTTCCTCCGGCTCGGCCTGGCCGAGCGGATTATCGCTGCACGCGCTTCGCCGAATTCCTCGTCGGCTTTAGCTCCCCGAGCCGCCCCGTTGGCTGGGCTGCAAAAATTGGGTGAGAAACCAGCATTTCTGAGCGAGCCGGGCTCAGCCCGGAGCCGCGCATCCTCCCGGGTCATCAATATTAATCGTGACGATGCGCGTGGGTTCCAGCCCGGCTGCCGAGAAGGGATGCCGGGACTCGGAATGAGGAATTATGTTAATTGAGTTGATTATCCGTTCATGTGTTCCCTCCCCGGGGTACCACGGCGTGATGCCGGCATTGGGTTGTCTGCTCCGGCCGCCCGCTCCCTGCCCCGCCGTAATCCTCCGGCGAAGTTTCATGCTCCAGTTCCTCATCCGCAGGGGAGGAGGAGGAGATCCACAACCGTGTGGGCTTCAAAAGGGCGAAGCCTGGCCTCGGAAGCTGTCGGATCTGGGATGCTAAGGACAGAACACGAGGCATTCGCATCCTCCTGGGCACCTTCACTTCAAACCAGCCCCAGATTTCGGGTTTTTAAGCTCTGAAATGCATCAAATATTCACTTTAGATCCTGCCTCTGCTTTTCCTGGGATTTGAGGGATGCTATTTTTATCCTCACCTTCCACGTTCGCGCTGTATTTGAAGTAGCCTTGCGTGGCCATCCCGCTCGAGCCCCGGAGACCTGTGTCAAGACCATCTGTGCACAAGGCGCTGCTCCGGTGGCTGGAGGAGCTTTAACGCAAAGGCTGGAAGTGCTGGCGGCCGACCTGCCTCCCGAAATATCCGTAGGGATGTGCCAGCCCACCCGCTAACCCCGACCTGTTCTCCGCAGGGCTCAGTGGATTGCCCCAACCTGGAGTTCGAATACGGGGACGCCGACGGTCACGGCGCTGAGTTAGCAGGTGAAGCGGCGTTTGGGTGCTGTGCTGCTATTAATAGGAGTCCGCCGGGTAGGGAAAAATATTCCCTTGGGGAGTCGAGCGAGCGGGATGGGGGATGGATATCGCGTGGTATCATCCTTGCGGTAACGGAGCAAGAGGGTTTTATTAATAGAGAGCCGCTCGCTCCCCGGGGATGAGCACAAGGGACGCGTGGGGGGCACAGGGATTACCCCACGCTTGGAATTATCCGGGACACGATGGCAGGGGGTGGGGAGGACGGGTGGCATGCCTGGTGGCACAGCCCAGGCTGGCAAGCGTCACCCTTTATCGCGGGTGTCACGATGGGTTGAGTCCTCATCCCGTATCTTCCTGCCGTGTGGCGGCTCTGGCTGCTTCCGCCCCGTAACGCCCCGGGGTCCTGAGCGTATCTCAACCAGCAAAGGGGCTATTTTTAGCTCTGCGTGTCTCGGCTGCACGAGCTGGCCTGGCTAAAGCACATTTTTCCTTTGAGGGATCCTTCCTCCCTCCTTGCGGAACCGTTTCGGTCCCCCATGGTGCTGCTCAGCGCCGTAGGACCTATAGGAATTCTATACAAACAGGTAGGAACTCTATAGGAACAGGCACAACAGCGTGTCCCTCCAAGTCCAGCCCCTATTTGCAGGTCCCAGAATATCCGAGCTGCTGGGTTTGGAGTCAGTGCAGGTCTTGCCTGGGTGCTCCTGCGGTCCCTCCCTTTGCAAAGGGCCTTAACCGGGACAGAAAATTACTCCCCCTTCCCCCAAATACCCCTGTGAAATTGCAAATGCAGCTCGAGCACAGCCCAGCACGGACACGGGGGTGAAAATGATGGATTTGGTGGCTCCAAGATGCCCCCTGGAGCTGCGGAAGAGCTCAGGGATAAGTTTAGGTCGGTGGCCCGTGTCTCCTCAGGTGCGTTGGGATGTTTGAGTCCCACAGGGAATTTGGTGAGGAGGAGGAGGGTGAAACTCCTCCGGGTCCTTGCTGATCCCTTTCTCCATCAGAGCTGTACAGCTACACCGAGGAGCCTGAGCTCAGCACCAACAGGAGATGCTTCGAGGAGGATTTCCACGCACAAGGTACCAGCTCTGGGCTCAGCACCCCGGGGCTCGGGGCAGCCCTCCCGGGCAAGAGCGGGACCCCCGGGGGGGCACCCAGCTGGCTGTTGTGTCCCCTTTCCAGTGCAGGGCAGGAGGTGGCTGGAGCTGGACGGGGCTCAGCAAAAGGCCTACGTCATGCGCCTGCTGGATGGGCTGGAGGTGGTCAACAGGGACAAGCGGCTCAGAGTAGCGCGGGCCATCCTCTACCTGGCACAGGGTAAGGACCACATCCCCCGTGTGTGTCTGCTGCCTGGCTTCGTCCAGGGGGCGTGGGAGAAGCCTTCTCCTGGGGTTCTGCCAGGTTGGTGCAGTGTAGCTCCTTTCTGGGGTGGTCCCAGGGGTTCAAAGGCAGCACCCCCCTAACTAGTTCCTTCCTTTGGGCCCCTCCAGGCGTCTTTGGAGACTGCGATAACGAAGGCGATGTCCTGCACTGGTCTCGGCACAACAGCTTCCTCCTGTACCAGCTGGGAACCTTCACTGCCTTCCTGGAGCTCCTCAACATGGAGATTGAGTGAGAGGCCCCACACTGCCCTCACCCTCCTGGTCCTCTTCTTCATCTTATTCTTTCTCTTTGCACTCCTCATCCTCCTCCACTTCATCTTCTTTCTCCTCGTCCTTCTTGCCCTCCTCCTCACTCTCCTTGTCCTTTTCTTCATCTTATACTTTCTCTTTGCCCTCCTCTTCTTCTTTCTCCCCCTCCTCCTCCTCCTCTTCTTATTCCATCTTCTTCTTTCTCCTCCTCTTATTCCATCTTCTTCTTTCTCCCCCTCCTCCTCCTCCTCTTCTTATTCCATCTTCTTCTTTCTCCTCCTCTTATTCCATCTTCTTCTTTCTCCCCCTCCTCCTCCTCCTCTTCTTATTCCATCTTCTTCTTTCTCCTCCTCTTATTCCATCTTCTTCTTTCTCCCCCTCCTCCTCCTCCTCTTCTTATTCCATCTTCTTCTTTCTCCTCCTCTTATTCCATCTTCTTCTTTCTCCCCCTCCTCCTCCTCCTCTTCTTATTCCATCTTCTTCTTTCTCCTCCTCTTATTCCATCTTCTTCTTTCTCCCCCTCCTCCTCCTCCTCTTCTTCTTTCTCCCCCTCCTCCTCTTCTTATTCCATCTTCTTTCTCCTTGTCTTCTTCATATTCTTTCTCCCCATTGCTCTCGCCCTCTTCTCCCTCCTCTTCCTCACTGAAGTCCAGGGCGGTGCCGCAGCCATGACACGATCCCAGTGCGGTGCTTCCACCGCTGCAGTCGTAGGCTGGGGGTCGGGGTGAGGAGCAGCCCGTGCCCGGTGGCTGGCGCTGAGCTCGTCCCCTTCCCTGCAGCAACAGCCAGGCCTGCAGCAGCGCCCTGAGGAAGCCGGCCATCTCCCTGGCCGACAGCACGGAGCTCAGGTATCCCCGCTCAGACCCCCATTTGCATGTCGGGTGGAGGCTGTGGGACTACCTCTGGGGACAAAGTGGCCTCTGGCTGGCAGCGTCACCCGCCTGCCGTGCTGTCCCGACAGGGTGCTGCTGAGTGTCATGTACCTGATGGTGGAGAACATCCGTGTGGAGCAGGAGGCGGATCCCCCCGAGTGGAAAACCTGCCGGGAAACCTTCAGGATGGAGCTGAGTGAGCCACAAAGTTCATTGTGCCCTGACGAGGTCCCTTCATCATGTTGGACCAGTGGGGAGATCGCAGGGATCGGGGATCTGCTCTGAACCTGCTCCTGGTCCCTCTTTCCACCAGGTTTCCCCGTGCACTCTGAAGAGCCGTTTGCTCTTCTGCTCTTCACGATGGTGACCAAGTTCTGCAGTGGCCACGCTCCACACTTCCCCATGAAGAAAGTCCTGCTCCTGCTCTGGAAGGTGCTTCTGGTGAGTGCAAACCCTTCTTTTTTCCAGAAACAGGTCATTTTGGGAATAGTGCCGATGCAGCCTGGATGTTTTCCACTATTCAGTCCAGCCGTAACGAGGTTATTTAGGATGGCTGACACAAGGCAAACAGTTTCTTGTGGGATGAGGGTGGGCTGAGCCACGCAGGGGACGTGGGGTGGGGGTGAAGCCCGTTGGCCGTGGTGTCTTCATTCTCAACTCCTCAGCCCAGGTGGGATGTCTGCTCCCTGCTTTCTCACCTCTCTTGTTGGTCCCCAGTTCACGCTGGGTGGATTCGAAGCGCTGCAGGCGATGAAGGTGAGGAAGCGTGAGGAGCTGGGGCTGCCGCCCTTGCCGGAGGACAGCATCCAGGTGATGCGCAGCATGCGCGCCGCTTCGCCCCCCACATACTCCATCGAGCTCATGGAGCAGCAGCAGCAGAAGCGTGGTCACCGCAGCCGGAGGGTAAGAGCAGGCACATCCCCCTGCATGGCCCAGGATGCTTTTCCAACGGGACCGTCACCCGTTCACGCAGTCAACCTGTCCTCGGGAGTGTGTTTACCTTTCTCCCCAAGTGTTTTCCAGTTTCATAGAATCACGGAATGGTTTGGGTGGGAAGGACCCTTAAAGCCCCCCCAGCCTCACCCCCTGCCATGGGCAGGGACACCTTCCATAGCCCAGGGTGCTCCAAGCCTCATCCAGCCTGGCCTTGGACACTCCCAGGGATGGGGCATCCACAGCTTCTCTGGGAACCTGTCCCAGTGCTCCCACCCTCTGCGGGAAGAATTCCTTCCCCATGGCCCATCTCCATCTCCCTCTTCCTGGTTAAACCCGTCACCCCTTGTCCTGTCACTCCCTGCCCTTGGGAAAAGTCCCCCCAGCTTCCTTGCAGCCCCCCAGGCACTGGAAGGGGCTCTGAGGTCTCCCCGGAGCTTCCCTTCTCCAGGCTGAACCCCCCAACTCCCCCAGCCTGTCCCCAGGGCAGAGGGGCTCCAGCCCTCGGAGCATCTCCGGGGCCTCCTCTGGCCTCGCTCCAACAGCTCCGTGTCCTCCTGCTGTTGGGGCCCAGAGCTGGAGCAGAACTGCAGGGGGGTCTCCCCAGAGCGGAGCAGAGGGGCAGAATCCCCTCCCTCGCCCCCCTGGCCACGCTGCTCTGGATCCAGCCCAGGATGGGGTTGGCTTTCAGGGCTGCCAGCGCACACAGCCGGCTCATGTCCGATTTGTCATCCACCAGTTTCAGTGGTGGTGGATCAGCCCAGCAGGGCATTTGATCCAGAGGAAGCAGGAGGACATCCTGACCCTGTGGCGAGGGGCTGATAAGTGCCGAGGAGCACGCTGCTGACAGCAAGCTTGCCTCTATTTAGCTGCGCTCTTGGAGTTGCTGTGTTACAGCCAAGGAATAAAATGCCTCTTCTGCATTTTATTGGAGAGATGTTGGATGATCGTTCCAAAAGTTAAGATGGAAAATGGGGTCACATCTTGCTGAGCAGCAAGGGTAGAGGTACAGAGGGTGTTGTTCCTTGTCCAGGCTTTGGTGACAATAGCTATGAGGGAAATCCTCACCGGGGGAACACCTGGGAGCTTGATCCTTCCAGGAGGGAAAGGTTTGGTGCCAGCAGCTGGGAATGAACTGAAATCCATGGGGTGACTTGAGTTTCTCTTTCCCCTTCTGCTGCAGCCACTGGTGAAGCAAGACAGTTTGGATATCTACAACGAGCGAGACCCCTTCAAAAATGATGAAGCAGGAGTCGATGAAGAGGAGAACGATGATGTGGACAACGGCATCGAGGGGGAACTGGACCTGATGGAGCGGGATGCAGTTATCCCCGTGATGCCTGCTCAGCGCCCACCTATTGAAAGGGTGTCATTCCCCAAAGGGCTTCCCTGGGCTCCCAAAGTCAGGTAAAACCATCTGGTTTCTTTGCCATCCTCCCCAGTCCTATGAAGTTCCTGTCCTGGAGTTCAGTGCAGGCTGAACATCCATCTGCAGCAAGTTTGTTGGCCTCTGGCAAGTTGGACTGAAGTGGCTCCACTCCTTTTTTTTGTCTCATTTGGTCCTTTCTGGATTGGGTTTAGCTGAGCCCTTGCTCAGGCTGTACAAACCACGTGTGGCCGAGCTTGGCCAAGAAGTGGCAATCCCATTTTGGGGGTTGAACTGGGAAGGAGGCTTGTGCTGGAGCACTGTGGGAACAGGGGCTGTGGGCTGTGAGCAGGGTCAGCTTTCCCAGCCAGCACCAATGGATTTTGGGAGGGCAAGGTCCTAGACTAATCATGGTTAACGACATCACCTCTTGCCTGTTGGGTGGGACCCTTGTGTTGCCAGTTAAGCTTTCGTGAGTGGCCTTGCTCTGAAGTGAGAAATGGGAGAAAAACATCTGAGGATAAAGGAGTTGGTGCCTTCCCTTCCTAAGACCAGTTCTGCTACACGTGCTGTGCGGGAGCGTTAGGAAAAGAGGGTGAAAACCTCTGCCCCTTTCCCTCTAATCCATGTGATTTTTTTTTTTGCTGTTCACCTGAGGCCTGGATTTAAGCCGGTGTCTTTAAAGCACCGAGGCAAATACATCTTTTTGACGTGGGAGCAGTGACAGGGTTAAGTGTGTCTATCCAGAGCACTCGTGCAGGGACATGGCAAGAACTGGTTTCCCACATGGGTCTCTGCACACGCGGTGCCGTGGCACTCCACCGAAGAATGCTCTCAGCGTCGAAATCAAACGGCCATTGTTTTTCTTGGCCGGTGCTTGAAATCCAGCTGGGTTTCTTCCTGCCTGTGAGAGCCTTGGCTCACGGATCATGTCCTCCTCGTAGCGCTGAGACCCTGACCAGTTTTCCTGAAAGGTGGACAAGGCGTCAGCTTGCTCTCTCAGAGCAGCACGTGCTCCGCCAGACTGCGGAGACAACATTTGTTCGCTCGCGGTGAGCAGATGCTACTTGAAGATGCATGTGCTAGGAGCACAGAAGGTGGATGAAAAAGTGCTGTTCGTAGAGAATTCCTCTGCATTTATTTGCCCACTCCCATGGAGTTCCACAACAAATACAAATGGTTTTTCGTTCACGCTGTTCCCAACCAACATGAGCAACGGTGACTCTATCCCGCTGCTATTAAGACCTTTGGAAATCAATCCTAGAAAGCTCAAAGTTTCTTTCTCGACCCAGACTGCTCTCCTTTCTGGGCAGTGTAGGCTTTGCTGTGGTATATGTCTGTTTTCCAACCTTCTCCTTGGTTGTGTTTCTTTGTTGCTCCATCAGACAGAAAGACATTGAGCATTTCCTGGAAGCAAGCAGGAACAAATTCATCGGATTCACGCTGGGGCAGTGAGTATGACGTGTGTTGGTCTCCCCAAGTCTGTCTCATAGCTCCCACCAGTGGAATTTAACTGGTGGGAGGTGCCCACCGAGCGTCGTTTTTTCTCAACTCAACCAGGCTAAGGCACGCTCAGGACGATGCAGCACAGCGCTGGATTTCACTGGGGCTGCAGCAGTGCGCTTGGTGTTATAAAAACATCTTCTTGGAGATGCCGGTCTCCAAGGACCTCTTTCTATTAAAAATCAGGCCTACCCCAGAATAAGTGACCCCTGGCCCAAGCCAGAGACTGGTTTGATGCAGAGGGGGAGTTGGGACAATCTGGTATCCACAGCAAATTACCCAGTTTGTGACTAAATCAAGCTGCGGGTGCACAGTCACCCTGGCATGGGCCCAGCAGGGTGTATTTTTTTTTTTTTTGAGGTGTGGTGCTGGGCTCAAACTGACCTAATTTCACCCCAGCTCTTCACCCTGATGTCGCCCCTTTCTTGTGCAGGCTTTGCTGGGGAGGAGGTAGGAGGGTGGGCAGCTCATGCCAACACTTCTCCTAATTCCTGTCTCATCTGGGAAGTGTCAGTAGATTCAGGCTTCCTCTTTTGCCTTGTATGACATGGAAGTATTAAACCCAGGTCGGCTTCCCAGCCTCGTACTTACCATCTTCCATCCCCCACAGAGACACCGAAACCCTGATAGGGCTACCACGGCCCATCCACGAAAGCGTGAAGACACTGAAGCAGGTAAGACGGTAGCTCCATGCGGGACACTTGAATGCAGCAGCCCAGAAAACCTTGCTGAGCAGCAGTCAGCTTGTCTAACCTTGTCCCTTGCTATTTTTGCTCCCTGGCACTCAGCAGATGCTCTGAGGGTGGGATCAGACCTGTGGGGAAATCATTGGCCAAGATAACTCGAGCCACAGGGGGATTCCAGGGCATCAGGTCCCTCGGATGTATGCTCTCCGCCCACAGTAAATGTTTCACGTGAATTTAGTCCTCTCCTCTTCAGCTGCTGTGCAACCACGCGTTTGGTCTGAGCTCTTGCTCTCTCTGCCTTGGGAAGTCAATCTGATGAATCCAGTCAAGGTCTGAACAGCTTGAGAGGAGCTGGATATCCACCACACGCAGTGCGTGATCCTCATGTCTAACCTCTGGCTGAAACACAGTTACTGGAGGGTGTAAGAGGGACCCTTCTTGTTAGTTATCCCAGGAAAAGCTGCTGGAGCTTCTTGCAGGAATTGCAGGAACTCTGGACAAACTTCCAGAGTTGGGTTTGGGCATACATGCCCAGACCTGTGCTGTTCCCAGAGGGAAGCATGGCTGGCCTTGGCTTCTGCATTGCTCCACGTGGAGTGAGACACCTCCAGAGGTCAACTGACCCTACGTAAGGCCTGGATTGCCTTTTGGAGGTGATTGTCCCTCTCCACTTGCTTACGGAGAGGCCCTAGAAAGTGTAGGTAGAAGTAATCAAAGGCATGATGTGTGAAGGGCTTCAGGGACAGAGGGATGTCCCACGGAAGGATGAGCTCTCCATGGATCTGCGGCAACCTGTTCACCAAACTCGGGTACCACTGCAATCAGCCGATGTTGTCGTTGCTGACTGTGTCACCTTCCGGTTGTGACATTGCTCTGCCTCTGTCTCTGTATTTTGCCAGCACAAGTACGTTTCCATCTCAGACGTCCAGATCAAAAACGAGGAGGAGCTGGAGAAGTGCCCCATGTCTCTGGTAAGAAGTTGCTGCTCCCCATCACTAGATAGATGTGTGGAAGATTTCCGAGTTGTCATAGAAACCCATACGTTTTCCATGATCCATAGGACACCTTGGGTGCTCTTTTTTGCTGGAAGTCCGTATCTTGATCAAAGGTAGCAGTGGAGAAAGGCCTGGAGCTTCCCGCAGTCAGCATGTGGCTGTGTCCATCATTAAGTCCTCGAGCTGGGTTTTGTGGAGGTGACTGACATACCTCAAGTGTGTGGACTGGAAATATTCCATTTTCCCTTGTTTCTCATGTTTCTCTGTGCTAGGGGGAAGAGGAAGTCCAGGAAACCCCTTGTGAGGTCTTGTATCGAGCAATGTTGTACAATCTCCCCCAGTATATGGTAAGCCTGTGTTTCTTAAAAGTGAAGAAGAGCTTTTGAGGGGGGAATGGTGCCAATTTGTGAGCTGTGGGGCTCAGCATGAGGCTGCTGGGGCGTGTTCAGGACTTGAATGGTCAAGTACAGTCAATGGAAGTACAGTCCAAGAGGAGGGAGTCAGAGGATCAAGGGGTGTAGATACCCAGGGAGCCAGTCAAATGCTTGGGAACAGGTCAGTGGTTGGAAAATAGGATGTGCGTAGAGGATTGGGAACAAGGAATGAAGTCCTACACGTTGGTGGGAGGTCAAAACTGGCTCCTGCCCTCCGGATACTGAGGGGAACCCGTCAGGGCTGGCCGTGTGTCATCTCTTGAGCTGCATGAGCTGTAGTATTTACCAACAAGCTGTTGCACACCGATGCAGGCACCTTCACTTCTGACCTCAACAAGCAACCTACGGACTGCACTGGTCCTTGAGCCTTTGTCCTTCTTGCTGGGATTAACTTGCCGTTACGGTATCACACTGATCTCCGAGCGTGACGGCTTGCTGGGCCAGGAACCAAACTAAACCATCGTCGTGCTTTAGGCACCGCAAACAAGGTGGAAATGCCTTCAGGTCTCTGCCAGCTGGGCTGTGCCCTCAACAGCTATTCCAGCTCTGGAGAGTCTGTAGGTGATAACTTTCCTTACAGGGATATCCCTTGCAGCTTTCCCATGGCCCCTGGAGATTCCCAGAGGAACAGAATGAGCGTTCTGAAACTTGTCTACATTAGGATGCTGGTTGGGTCACTGTGTCCGTAGGGACAGAGTGACAACAAACACAGATTTAAATGCATTAGGCTCCTGGTGCACCTTGTAGTATTTTATCCATCAGCTGCCATGGTCCCCACACTTGGCCTGTGTGACCAGGGAATAAAAGGAGAGGTTGGGCCTTGGCATAGTCCGTCCATCACGGTGACCAGAGCTTGGGCTGGTGAAACCCTATAGAGTTGGCTTGAAGTTGTCCAGTTTTGGCAAGTGAAGGAGAAGGAAGGAATGCCCCTTCCTGACACCCTCCCTCCTTCTGCAGATAGCTTTGCTGAAGATCCTTCTTGCTGCAGCGCCCACCTCCAAAGCCAAGACTGACTCCATCAACATCCTGGCAGACGTGTTGCCTGAAGAGATGCCGTAAGTCCCGGAGAAGGTGGCCACCAGCCATCCCAGCTTTGCCACAAAGTCTTGGACCAAGCAGGGGAACTGGGGTTTGCTGATAGGTTTGGGGGGCTCCAGATTTGGGGACATCTCTTTGGATAGGTGCAAGCTACTGTTGCCACCAGGGCAGAGGAATGAAATCCAGGGAAGTGATGCCGGTTTTTCAGGAGCGTGACAATTTGTGCGCAGTCGGCAGCTGCTGTGCTCTGCTAGCGAAGTGACACAAACCATAAAATCATGCTAATTGACACAAATCATAAAGATACGTGAGCATATGCCAGGTGTCCTTCATACCGCTCTCCCAGGAATGCTGGCGGAGGGCAATCTGCTTTTTTTGTCCCTTTTTTTTAATGCGCTTCAGTGTCACCAGGCAGGAGAGGATGGAAATGGGAGGCCCCGGGGGAAGGGAAGGTCCCTGCTTCTGTAGAACCTGTCCAGATGACTATAAACTCAACAAAGTCCCTTTGTCCTCCTTGTCCCCGTACCCGCTGTGCTGTTGCCTTCTTTCCCTCCAACCCAGCATCACCGTCCTTCAGAGCATGAAACTGGGGATCGACGTGAACAGGCACAAAGAGATCATCGTGAAGAGCATCTCGGCTTTGCTGCTGCTGCTCCTCAAGCACTTCAAGCTGAACCACATCTACCAGGTGAGCATAGAGAAGAGGTCGGCCGTGGCCCAGCTTGCCTGGACACCGGTGTATCCCAATATCCCAAGAGATCTCTCCGGGAGGGGTTTCCATGAGGAGCTGCAGATCGCTTTTCCATAGCGGGGAACCCCAGCCCCGGGCGAGGATTTGTGTAGGGTTACTCAGACAGGGATAACCTGCCTGAAATATATCTCTGACTGTGTTCTGACAGGATCGTAGCCACTCACGTGGAAAGAGTTTTCAGAACTCTGGAAAAATTCACACTGTGCCTGATCAGGTTAAAATTTAGGAGATACCACGAGCACGAGCCTCTGTGGCAGAAGGGGGAAGGGGATGGGGGGTTAGACAACACCCTCTTTTCCTCTGTCTCATCTCCAGTGGCCAGAAATAGTGCTGCGTAGGAGCTCACGAGGTCAACTAATCTCGTCCTCTGTCCCTTGGCAGGATCAGGTTCTTGGGGCTCCAGTTTCAACGGAGCCTGGAGGCCTGGGTCCTAGATGCAATCTGATTTCTGTTTCATCTGCACAGCATCCATCGGACTGGACCCGTGTGAGGGCTTTCCTCGATTAAAAAACCACAAGGGATTCGTCTGGGCTGCAGCCTGGGCCCAGTTCTCCACCCGTTCTGCAAGTCAAGCAATTAATGCTTTGTAATTTGTTTTCTTTTAAAGGTTTCAGCGTGGTACAAATCCGTCTGTGTTACGAAGTCCACTGAGGATTTATCTGAGGATAAATATAAATCCATGTACTGGATAGGATAAAATGGAACACACCCCCTCCCCCCACCCCCACTCCCAAATTTTTACAATCTGACGTTTCCTCCAGGTCCCCCCAAGTCCCTTCACTGATTTTTCTCACTTCACACCCAAAGCAGCTCCTCTCATTTCTTCCTCCGTGGCAGGAGGACCCCCGCAGTTTGGTGCTAACTCTGGAGAAAGCTGTAGGGTTTCCTCCCTCCCCGATTCTGCTTTTGCGTCTGATTTTGAGCGAGCCATCATCATTTTTTTTGAGGCTGAGGCTGGTCTCAAGGACCACCCCGAAAACCACGGCGGGGGCTGAGCTGATGTTTCCCAGCGTGTCCAGGCTCCGGGGGGGTCACCCTGCGCTCGCTGGCTGCCGTACCGGTGGGGCAGCCACTGCACAGACCTTCACACCAACACAGATCTTGGGGGGGTTTTGTCTCAGTTCCCTTGAGATTTGGTGTTTCCTATGCCAAAAGAGAAACACCATCCAACGGTTGCAGTTCAGCAAGTTAGCATTACCTTCGGCCCGATCCTGGATAACATCCTAGTTGCTGGCAGCTGCGTTTCAAAGCCATGAGAGCATCTCGGATCCCGGCTAGCGGGGACTGCTGGGATCACTCACAAATACTGGCGGCGGTGTTCCGTGGGGGGTGTACGGAGTGTTGACAGCTTGTACCAGGCTGAGATGAGACGTGCAGGAACAAACTGTTTCTTCACTCTCAACTTTGGGTTGTTGATTGCAGGTTAGTGAGAGGCATGGGTAGGGTAGGATGGGGTAGGATACTGCTGCTATGTGTCGGTCTCTCTAGGGGACAGTAGAGGTTTGTTGTGTTACACAGCTGTACATACCCAGAGCATTTAATGCTTAGAGGGGAAGAGAAATTAAAAGCGTGTGTGATGGTAAGGGTACTTTATTCAGTCGAAATGTGAAAAGGGACTGGGTTAGCGTGTGACAGCGATAGGAATTACTGCGTTTTCTCTCTATCCCTCCTCCTTCCCTCTTCCCTATATACTGTTTTGTCACGGATTTTCATCTTGAAAAGCTACGCTGTGGCCATTAGGGGCAGCTATTTCTGAGCGACTGCCGTAACGTTTGCGTCCCCGCTCCATGGCAGAGTTTTCCAGCTGGTGGGAGTTGCTGTAGGTGATGCAAGCCTTACACAGCAGACCTCTGCGAGGGGGAGATGGTCTGCGAGGCGGCTGGAGCAAACCATCAAGACAGCTTTGCTTTTGGCTGGAAATGGTTTGCCATTCCCAGGTGATGCTCCCAGTCGTTCCAGCTAACGTTGACCCGTTTCACTTCTTCTCCTCAGTTTGAGTACGTGTCCCAACATTTGGTGTTTGCCAACTGCATCCCGCTGATCCTGAAGTTCTTCAACCAAAACATCATGTCTTATATCACTGCCAAGAACAGGTACAGCCACTTCTGGGGAAGAGCGAGATGGTGGAGCAGGGAGGCTTTGTGCGTAAGAACCCTAACACGGCAGTGTGCGGTGGCACCACGTGACCTCTGGTCCCTAGCACGGCTTGGGGCAGATGCTCTCCACTACGGGAAGATGCTGGGAGGGAGCAAACCCCTTCTGCTTCATGGGGAGGACTGGGTGGGGGGTTTCCAATCTCTCATTTAACTACTAAAATACATGTAGGCCCACCGCCCTTGCTGCCAGCAGGCTTGTTTTCATCTTTACATGGACTCTTGGAAATCCATCCAGTGCCACGGGAGCAAATCCCTTCTGCTTCATGAGGAGGGCTGGGTGGGGGTTTCCAATCTCTCATTTGACTGCTAAAATACATGTAGGCCCACCTCCCTTGCTGCCAGCAGGCTTGTTTTCATCTTTACATGGACTCTTGGAAATCCATCCAGTGCCACAAGGCATCTGCGGGCCACAGCTTCAAAAAAGCCGGGTGGGGTAGAGTTTTCCAGGTCTTTTCCACTTTTTATAGCTATAATTCAGCTTTCCTGACTTCTTCAGATTTTGTGTAGTTGTCACTGCCTTTGGCTTCTGATCTGAGGAAGAGTCTAGCCCCGTTTGGGTCTGTATAGGGACTGGCCTACCGCAAGTCAGCGTAAGAGCTGAAAGAACACAGCTCTTCCATAACTCCGTAGGACTGGGTGAGATGTCCCCGCTTGCAGGGGAGTGCCGCAGGGAATGTTGCTGTTGGAACAATGAAAAGGTCCTTTTTTGTTGCTTTTTGATGCTCTTTTTGTTGCTTTTGAGCCACATGTGTAGGCTGGTCTGTCTCCCACACGGTATGGTTGTGTTTGTGGGAGAAGGCATTCGTGGAAAAATAGAAAGTAAGAAAGTAATATATAATTCTCATGCTGAAAAATATTTCTGGTTTTGGTCCTGCACTTTAAAGATGTGTAAGTGAGGAGGAAACAGCCCAGGAGCTCTCAGCTCCCCCCTCAGCTTTCTGATGGAGGTTCCACCGGTAGGATACGCTCCTGTGGAACGCGGTGGGGTTTGGAGCTGGATGCTCTGATCCAGGGAGGTTTAGCTGTTCTGCCCAGCCCAGAGTACCGGTTTGTCAGAGAGCAGCCAACACCAGGCACTGCCCTGCGGAAAGGACTGTGGGATTTTGTCACGTTCAGGTGCATGGACCTGGGTCTGGTGATGCTGCAAGAGGAAGTATCAGAAGTGATGCCAGCAGAATGACGACTTGCAGGGAATTAACTGTACAATCCTAGAATGGTTTGGGTT